TTGACATTGATGTCATATGTTCAGAGATCCCGTGGATCCCGTGGATCTCTGAACATATGACATCAAAAGGTATGCATCGTATAATTAGATCTATGCATTGATTTCAATTCTGACATATAGGTTATTTTCGCATTATTGACATAGCAAAATTACAGATCTATGTTTACACGCCCATCTCCGGCCATCATCCTTCACTGACCAATCGATCATTCCAAGAACCATATACAAGAGGCACTCGGATCAACCACGATCCGGCTGCAAAGAGAGAGAGAAAAGAAACCAATTTAGGTTTAGAATCTCCAACGTGCTTCGGCCGGCAAAGCGCTGTCCAATTTCTTCTGATGGGCGGCGAGGAGGGAGACAGGACGTTCACCATCATTGTCGTGAAGGGATGGAAGGGTTTGAAGCTGGCCGTTTCGAATCGACCGACGAAAGGATCGGAAGAGAGCAGATCCCTAATTCTTGGGAGAGGTTTCAGGACCCGGTAACAAGAACTACGTCAAGAACTATGTCAACAACTACGTCGATCCCACAAATAGCTGGAAGGAAGGATGGAATTAACATCTCGAACCTGCTTCGGCTGTGGAAGGAGGCTTCGAGTCGAACTTGGCCGGAAGAACGGCAGCGGACATAGTAGCCGCGAGGGCCTTCTTGAAACGAGCGGCCGGCGCCTGGTTTCTTCTAATGAGCGGGGTCGAATTTGTCACCGTCGTGGTGGAGATAGACGCTCACCATTACGAATCGATCCAAGAAAGGATCGGAAGCGAAGAACAACCCTAGTTCTTGAGCGGGGAGAGAGGGATTAGAGCGGGCGGGAGACGTAGCGAAATGGCGTTCGCGAAAGGAACATCATTTGGCCTATTTAAAGCGCGACACGAAGCGTAGCGTCTGACACCGGGGTCTCTCAAAACACGTGGCATCCACGTTTAGCCAATTTATAACGGACACGAAACATCTTAAACCGAATTTGTTAAAGCACGTGGGATCTGTGTGGGTAGCATTTGGCCAATGTATAGCGGACACGAAATATCTGGCACCGGCTTTGTTAAAGCACGTGGTATCCACGGGACTAAACGATCCACGGCTGAAGATTGCATAATGATTATAATCTTCTATTATATTAATCGGAATACAATACATATTTATACGGACTCAAGCCCAGAACTTATCAACCATACAAATTGATCGGGTAATGCCTGATGCTATTGGGCAAGAAACCACTGCTTGAATTTAAACCAACATTTATACAAGTCGGCACGGCACAGCACAGCACATCCGAGAACCATATACTAGGAAAAGGCAAAGCTAGAGAAGACCAGCTTAAACAAATTCCACCTGGTCTTGCCAAAATCAATATTGCCTCCTTAACTACAAATCCATATCTTCCTTCCACATGAGAAATACTTTATCAAATGCGACCAACTTTGCTTGCGGAAAGAATTATTAAATTGGAGAATTCTAAAACTTCACTAGCCTCGTATATGATGAGAGTTGAAAGACACGAAACTACAGAAATGTACTTAAGCTGTTGATGTATTTACTGTTGTTCGATGACTTGTGCATCAGCACCAAAAATCTGCGGCCTCGCGTCTTTTACCTCAGAAAAAGTTAATTCTCCGAAGCTAAATCAGATGAACCAGATCCTTGCAAATGAACAACACTGCGGTTAATGACATCCTAGATCTCTGCCGCATCAGGCTCTTTAACCAAGCTCTACACCAATAAATTGAAGCTTCCTCGTGCAAACAAATTGCAAGATTTCCATAAAACTCAAGTGCGAATTTGCTGAGCCATTTCAAGAGTATCTTCTACTGAAGTAGCACCACCGAGAATTTCATCAACAGTTTTATTAATTCTGCTTCCTTTGGCCTAGACAAGACAAGAAAGCAATAACCATAGTATGTAAAGTGCAATCCACAATAAAAGATAGGAAAAAAGTAAGATGGTGAAAGAGAAGGGAAAACAAGGCATTCAGCATAAGTCTTAAACAAGTCAAGGTATGGGGAAAAAGGAAGTTGACCTTTATTCCAATAGCCATTGCTGTCTTCAACTTCACCAGTTCACCCAGTCTCAAAGAACCTCTTTTATTATCCTTCACAAGGATCATAGGAACCTGTGTGGAAGATGCCAAACTTGGGATATGCTTTGTCAACCACCGTGGGTTGCAATCAGCAGCTAATATCACCGCCTATTTACACCACCCCAAAATAAAGGAAACAGGAGGCAACATAAAAAATCTTCTCTTCCAGTTAAATTGGATGCTTATAATCATATTCTACATCAACAGAATTTTCAGAGAGATCAAATAAATAGCAGACCTAGAGGACAAATTAAAAAAAAAAAGGTTCTGATGATTAATGCACATATGACAAAATATACACATTGCCAAAGATGATTAGAAAATTGCATTTTTTATATAATTCATTAGTTTGTGGAATGGAATACTTTGTAGTAATAGAAGATATAAGACTATAAGGGATGCCCAATTTCCCGTTTCAAAGAACAATTGAACCGATATGTACTGATATATCAGTCCAACGATGGATCTTATCGGCCCATAAGATACAGTATACGTCATAATTTTAAAATTTATTCAACTGATATCAAGAGGTACAGGTTGGTACCACCTATCATACTGACACTACACAAGTCTGACAAGCTATGAAACCAGTAGCAAACCAAGATTTTAAACCATGGTTCATTTAAAGGAAATCAACCCCTGACTACTACAAGTTCAAACTCATGCAGCCAATTCCAATTTTGAATGTGTACAGTTACTAGCATCTGCAGTCGGTCCTGAATATAAGGACTTAATTTGCTCTATAGTGAATGGAATCCGTTTTGTCCATTAAATAGCTCCTAGATGGTTTTGAACAACTCTATCAATACTAAGATGCCACAACATAGTAGGAAACAATATAATTAGTCTGACTGTTATTCTGGAAGTGATCTCAACTCTTGCCTGTTGATGCATGAGCACAAGACTCAGGTTCGGCAAAAAATTTCTCTTATAGACCAGAATGAGGAATGATATAATAACTACAACAATTCTCTTATAGCCAAAATTCTCTGTGTAAGGCAAATTAGATCTTTTTTCATTGTTTCTAGTGAGTTTTCTTAGGTCCCTATTGTTCCTTGCACTATTGATTTCAGTCATCTCATACAGTCTAACCATAGCATGTATAACTCTTCTGAGCATGTCCAAAGAAATGCATGCATAGCACAGCCACAAATTGTTCCAAGAGCATGCATTCGTCTCTATAAGCAGATTTATACCAAAGAACATCCGAGTCAGTTAATCTTCATAAACATAGGAATGCTAAAAGGCTTGCATAGCACAGCCACAAATTGTTCCAAGAGCATGCATTCGTCTCTATAAGCAGATTTATACCAAAGAACATCCGAGTCAGTTAATCTTCATAAACATAGGAATGCTAAAAGGCTTGCCTGCTATCGGTTGGACAAACCCTTATCTGAGCACACATTAATTCAACCAAGCACGCTATTTGTTCCAGGCCAATGTAAATTTTTTTCACATTATTTTTTCATGCATTATTCAACACCCAATTAGGAAACAAAACAACTCCATTTCCAGAGTAGTTGGCAAGTAATAGAGAATGAATAAACTTATGAGCCAACAAAATCGAAAAGAGCAAAGAACTAAGTCATCGTACACAAGCTTTACAAAACACAAAAATAGGGAATGTAGCTTGTAGCATCTGTCATGTTAAGACAACCTTGTGCATTTTGACAGCAATGATGACATTAGGCATTAATTAATCCAAGAGGGCATATTGCCGAAACACTATTGCTTCAAGCGAAAAAGCAATCGAAACTACACATGGATCATCACTATTCTAATGTCTCTGTTCGGATGCTTAAAAAATTCAACCAGTACAAAAGATTTTCTAGGCTAATTTCATATTTAGTGCTGAATGTTGCCATTGGACCTGCAAATGTTTTCTTAGGAAAATCCAAATGAACAAGCCTAAATAACACTCATATCAGTCCACAGTGATTAGTCTAGGATATTTCCGATAAGAAGTAATCTGAAGAGAAAATCAACCACGGACACAACATACGTCTCTCAAGAAAAACGTCATCCATTTGGGATTAGACATAGGAAACTCAACCAATTCAAAAACCGTAGTTCCTGCCACAAATCATGCATCACCAGACATGTAGCTTAAGATATACAGTCCTGGATCAAACTCCTTTGGCAGAGGCATAAAAAGAATCACAGCCAGACAAGTAGTTAACCTGGAGTGGTACCAAAGGAGCTTTACTATTCTTTGGCTCTTCGTTAGATTGGCATCCCGTCTCAGCTTCGACCATCCTCTCAAGCACACGCGTTACATCATTGACCCCCACAGCGAATTGTTGCTGCGTATAGCAGATTCAATAGAGATACTACTAAAATTACCCAAATCCATCATAAAGCACGAAGAATTCGAACTCCTTATGACTGACAAGTCGAACAAATAGCAGTACCTTGATCCATATCTTTTCAGGTAACTCCCCTTTGGATAGTTTAGCCAACTCTATACTCCTAACAAAACCCACATTACTTGTGAGCAGGAAAACCAGAAGAGGAGCCACAAAGTACATATAGTGTGAGGGATATACTTGGCGAGTTGCGACAGAAGATTGTCGAGGCGCTCTCCTTCGAAGCAGTCTGAGCTCGCTCTGCTCACAATAGGAACTCTAAATTGATCGACCAAGATTCTGCAAGAAAAGTAAAGAGGAAACGTGGGAAGTGAGGCGAATCGTACTGATGCTGTGGAGATCCATTCGAAGCCTTCACCGGCCTAAGCGAACTCCTCCTCTTCTTGGCCATGCTCGTCCCAAGACCGGACGAGATCTAATTGAACCCCGTAAAACCCTAGTTGTTCGATCGAGAAGAAGATGACGAGACGGGGAACCTTAATAAGGAACATCTCACATGAACGAAGCATCCGACGGTTAAAATCTTTTTTGAGAAGAACCGATCCTAGCCGTTCGTTTGATTAGATGATTAGACTAAAACCGATTATCATATTGCGAAGGCATATCGTCGAAGAGCTTATGGCGACATTGACACCATAATAATACTACAGATCTGATAAAAAAAGATATATATATATATATATATATAATGTTTATTCCAACCCATATGCTTATCGTTTCCTTGGCAGCTGTCTTAGAACCAACATCAAACTCCATGAAACCCAAACAACCACGGATGCAAGACCACAAAAGCTTGTAGTTGTAGCCTCGGAGTACAGCCTAGTGCACCAAGTGCTCCGGCAGAGGAGCGTAAGCGACCGGCGGTGGCGGCGGAGGAGAGGCACCCGAAGAAGCCTCGGCGTCGCAGTACCCTCGAAGCACATCGCCTTCCTGGGGCGTGAAACCAAGGGCAGCAAGCATGACCTCGGCGGCCCAGCAGTGATGCACGATGACCCGAATGGCTCGGCAGCAGCTCGGTCCCAGGTACGTCTCGCCGTTGAGGAAGAAAAGGATGACTTCTCCGGTGCACGATCTGAGCTCCATCAGAGAGTCCCAGCACACCTTCAGTCCGTCGGACTGCAGCCGTTCTACCAGCTGGAGTTGTTGCGCCACGGTCCGGGCCTCCGTAAAATCAGGGACCACCGCCAACGCCGAGATGGTTAGGAACAGCATGGCGAGGAAGAGCTTGGGGAAGAGAGCCATGGAGAAGAGAAGGAGAAACCAGGGTTGATACAAACAAGGTATACCGTGCATGGGCTCGTATTTATAGTAGCGGAGCGAGAGATGCGTGGCTGCTGCCAACGTTAAGGATGTGTCTTAATGGTGAGGAAGACGAGAAGCCTTCTTTTAAGTTACAGGAATACCATGAGATTCCCATTGAAGTCTGACGAACACTAATTGACGAAGCTTTAAGAAACAGAGAGAGAGAGAGAGAGAGAGAGAGATATGATATGGCAGCGAGCGCACAGGTAACTGAATACTAAATGATGAAGAGTTGTTGCGGATTACTTCATTATTGCTACATTATCTTTTTTATTTGATAATGTTTACTTTGTTAATACAATATACAGTCCCAAAAAGAAAATAAAGAAGAAATCGCTTGCTTGTTCATAGTGATCAGAGCTATAATATGTACAAATATCTTTCAGGCCTTCCCGACTAACTTAAAATGTTGAAACAAAAATCATTCATTCCAATTCAAGCTCTTTGTTTTCTCTTTTTATGCGTATATATATCTATTTAGGTATACCTTCTTTGGCTGTATCAGAGTATGCTCGTCCTGGGTCGGATGAAACACCAGCACCAGCACCAGCACTTTTAGTTGATGGAGAAGGTGGTGCAGGACTTTGGACACTGAGGAGACTCAGGCACGATGGCAGGCCCGATCGAGGCTGCATTGCTGCCGCTAGCGCCGTTGGTAGTCCCTGGAGCTCCCATGACGGACGTGATGGCGGCGGCCAAGGCGGCGGTGAAGTTTGGATCGGTCGTGATCGCCGCAGTGACTGTCTCGACCATCGACTGCTGCTGCGGGCGGAACGGCAGTGACGCCTGCGGCCCGACCATCAACCCTGGAAGCTTCTGCGGGAGGCCGTACATGGAGAGCGGCACCACCGGATGTTGCGGTCGCTGAAGCAGTTGCAGCTGGTTCGCAGTCTGAGTTAGGTCGAGGGTGATGGTGGGGAACGGGGCGGAGGCGGAGAGGGCGGCCATGGTGGAGGCATAGGTTGAGGGGTGCAAGAAGCTGCCAGCCGCAGGGGCCATGAGCGAGTCCTCGCTGGTGGTGGAACCGGAGAGCAGCATGGCCGCAGCCGAGGACGTGGTATTCGCCATCACCGTCGCGGCGGGAGGGAGGGGATGATTGTGGTTGCCCTCGTAGGTGGTCACAAGGATGGTCTTGTCCTCCGCACATCTCTGCACCTATTGCACCAGTGAACCCAGGGAGATGTCATCGGTAGAGGAAGGAAGTATACAACTGAGATGCTTGAATTCAGAAACAAATGATTGATCATGGAGTTGTAGTGAGGTATCGTAATGCAAGTTCTGGATTCATAATTGATTCCCTACCTGCTTCCTAACCGGGCACGCGATGGCCATGGTGCATCGATAGTAGGCCCGCGGACAAGGATTGCCCTTCGCCATCTTCTGGCCATACTTCCTCCATTGACAGCCATCATTGATCTGCAACCCACAGCAACCTTCTTATTAGGTCTGATGTCGTTTTAGCTCTACATAACCACAGTCCTGACTGGAACTGTGTGTCGAGCAGTATTGGTCGATGCAGAAGTCACACAGAGACAAATCATAACATATTCTATTACCATCGGCGCATCCGATCGAGCACGCACCGAGACTCTTGCTCGCCGGCACGGGGCCTCAGAAGCTGTATCGGTGCTCCTTTCGTGCACCAGCCTAGGGCTCTTGCCTTCCTCCAAGCTCGGCGACGTATGCTCCGAGGAGGCATCTACGTGAGGAAGATGTGTTTGCGGAAATGGGACGACGCCTCGATCGCTAGAGTTTTTATTGCGTGACGATGAGTGTTCGCCGTCATCGTCGTCTTGGCGTTGGCCGGTATTCAGCAGGCGAGTAGGAGCAGGTTCCATGAATTGATGGGCCAATAATTCTCCTCGACTTGGCACACCGGACTTGCCATCCTTTCAAGGACATATCAAACACCTCAATTTTACGAATGGACTAAAGAATACTTGGAATGAAATACTAGATCAAGAACAGATAGCGGCAAAGGCTCGCAAATTATTGAAAAGTGATGTTTGCAGAAATAATTCGTGTATTATTTTAATGATAGTAAAGGCTGGAGGCAGACAGGGGGCTGTGAAAGTCATAATGAAAGGGGGATAAGTCGATCAAATCGACCTGCAGTAAAGAAAGTGAGAACATCGAGAGAAAACGGTGGGTCTTTACGGTCATCGTAGCTCTGCAGTTGTAATTCCACGCAGAAGCAGATGCCATTCACACGATAAACAAAATTGAAAAGCGTGTGAAATGGAATCAGCGATCAGAAATCGGTGAAATTTCATGATCAAACACCTTCAAAGATATTAGTAATTGGTCCATCGTCTGTTGCTGCTTCTTCTTTTGTGTGTGTGTGTGTGTGTGTGTTTTTATATATGGTATCCATTAATCTTGAGAGTTATTTGGATGAGATGCAAAAACCATGGATATAACTGCACTGAATCTATACTAAATTTTTTTCCAAAAATGAATCCAAGTGTTCCAAAAGAAACGAGCAAAAGACCTGTCCTCGTCGAATCTCGTGGACTTCCCTTTGTTGCATTACTTGAAGAAGCTGGGTGTGCAGGGCGGTGTAACTCTTTGTGAGCTGATCCAGCATGCTTCTCAATCTCCGGTTTTCCTCGTTGACTTGGCTCAACTCTCTTTGAAGGGTCAAGATCTGCACCTTTGGAGTTATTATAAGTCCACACCAAGTACCAACGCAAAAACAAAAACAAAAAGGAACAAAGATCCAAGTGAATCGCTTTAGACTGCAAAAACAAAAGCCCTAAAATGAATCATCTGAGATGTTATCACGTCGATCCAAGAAAAAGCTACCTTGTTTTCTGGTTTCTCATTCTCCGCGATGACAGATTGGCCAGCCTGAGCGTTCGACGGCACAAGATTCAATCCAATCTGAAGAGAAGGAAAGAGAAATCGTCATCTCCTATTTGATAGGCATACGATTAGAGATCTTATTTTACCATGAAGCAAGTCCGAGCAATATCAAAGGATTTCTTGGAACTAAAAAGGGTCATGATTCGTCTTAAGTACACGTAGATGAGGTGTAAAGAGCGAGGGCTTACGTTGATACCCGTGAGTCCATGAGCCGGCGAGTCTTCCTCCTCCTCCTCCTCCTTCTCCTCCTCCTCTACTCGCTGATGGTCTTTTGGTGAAGCAGGAGAAGCTCCGGCTTCGGCGACGGCCCGTCGGTGATCCTGGGAGAAGAAATCCACCTCTGTGATGGTGCATGTGGGTTCGATGCGATCCTCGAAGCGCAAAAGTTGCATCTCGTGTGGCCTGGCCATTGTCAGGAGCTACGAGGTGGATGAGGAAGACGACAGAGGGAAAGATAAGGGAAGGGAGAGAGAGAAGAGGAGAAACAGCAAAACAAAAGTGGGACAGAAAATAAGAGGAGTGAATAAAGAAGAAGAGAACATCTATCCAATTTCAATTGTGTGCCGCTGCAGGTAATGAGCTATCTCATTCTTTGGGGCGTCTGGTCCAAGTGAGGAGAGAGAGAGAGAGAGAGAGAAGATCCGTTGTGGCGTCAGCGTGAGGGATGTGCCATGGCGGCGGCGGGGGAAACGATAAAAGGAACTCGAAACGGGAAATGAGAAACGGGGTATCCTACGAACGAAACTCACGTTTCCCGTTCCCAACTTGCAGCGCCATTGGATCCGCCGTCGCGGAGAGATGGCGCGAGACGGTGTGCACGGAGGGACTTCACGTCAGGGTCAACGAGGAGGACGGCACGGCTCCCTGCGATTGGCCAATACGAGTGGGACCCGTCAAAACATCCACAATAGTGCACTCGCGATCCCATGACTTGGCAACGTCGTCCCTTGACTCGAAGTCGCCGACCTCTCTCGGATCTGCTTGTCTTGAACCGACGCTTTGAGATTCGCGTCGTCCAACGCACACCAACAGCTGCCTCGCTTGTGCATGCCTTTCCTTGTCCTTTACCCACTCCTCTCTCTCTCTCTCTCTTGATATATATATATATATATATATATATATATGTATTTGGTTTGGTAGAAGGGCAAAGAAGCCGGAGTCTGCACGCTGATTTCGTCGTTCTTTGTAAGCTTCAAGGCAAGGCGGAAGAAGCAGAAATTGGGTGGAATTGTTAGTTCAAGTTGATGCCAGGTTCTCATAAATCGTTATCCCAAGTCAAATATCGAATTACTTCGCACCG